GCAGGGCTGAGCTGCCAGCAGCGCGGAAGACCACTCCATCCGTGCCGCAGCTGAGGCTTTCTAACGTATCCTGGCGATTTGGGAAGAGCAAAGGAAAGGCTGCAAGATACTGCAAGGGAGGGCCGTCCTCAGGTTTCAAGACCTTCTCGCCCAACAGGAAGGCTGCCTCGTCGGCCGGGACTTGGTGGTGATCGCACCAGGCCTGCTGGGCGTGTGGGCCGTTGTTGATTCACATTGTGCGCACGGTGCCAGCCTTCATCATCTTGCCGAGCGGGGTAGCCACACGCCTGGCCCGGCTGAGCCACACAACATGGATCAGCCCAGAAACCTTGTCACAGACGCATATCATATACCTGCAGCTTCTGCTGCACATGCCGGCAGTGCACACTGAAGCAAAGCTCATTCAGACCGTCCGCGCCCTCTGCCTCGACTTTGACCGACACCTGCCCAAGTCCAGCTGCTTTTCACGTCTGTGCAAGCAGGCTGTGGGTGCTGGGATGGCCTTCGCAGATGATGCCTGCCAGCACCACACACAAGGATTCTGGAAACAGCTACTTACCGTCGAGCTTGCCCGCTCTAGGCTTCCTTCCTCTGTTTGTGGATCCTCTTGACAAAACAGAGTTTGCAGGTAGTTGGGATGTGTCAGAAGCTATGCCACATGACTGCCATGCCCGGCTTTTATTCGCAGGGAGCGATCTTCTTCGCAAGGGTGAAGTGTACCCATGCAAACCATAGTTTGAAACAGGTACTACCCCCAGTTATTCTATCTCAAGGTCAACTCCTCACATATCTCACATGTGCGCTTGCCGTCCTGGTCACAAGGCTAAAACGCAAGACGCCAGCGCTTGCCTCTTGGGAAGCATGGTGTTGTTTTGCTGGGGGCGACAGGATAGGCTAGGGCCAGGGCCTCAGTTGTTGAAGGGGCAAGCAGGCTTCTCAGAGATAATTGTAAAGAGAAGATGCAAGGGGTCTCTGGCTTGCATGGGCTCGGGATGCTGGAGTCAGGATTTTCCCCTCACTGGTACAGGCCCGTAGCACAATCTGTGCTGGAGCCCGGGGTCTCAAGTCCAGGATGTCCACGTTCGTCAGACCTAGATGGAATGAAATATCGCAGCTGTCGAGGATGGCCAGCCAGCGGGCGGCATGCAGCGTAGCGTATGTGGTTCCCAACACAGAAGTATTAGCCGAGTAGCACAGAGGCCATAAAAGCTGCGGAGAGTGGGGGAGGACAGAGCTGGATCGAGCTATTCTCAAAATCCAACCGCACCACAACTCGGTCATGCTCGGAGCTTTGTTTGTAGTGATGTCGGCGAGTGATGTTAGATTCGCTGTATTTTTCGAAACATTTTGAGTTGCGGCGCGGACATTTGGTAAAGGAATGGCAGGATGCTATCGGTGCTGCCGCCGATATCCGAGCCCTAGCCGCCCGGTCAAGTTGCGCCAAGTCTATCTTGAGGCGACGAGGAAGACAGCTTCATACACACTGTAGGTGACTTACAGGGTCTCAGAACCGTAAGACATGGTGTCGTGCTGCCAACGATGGTCGGCACATTATTCTGTGTAAATCTTCTCAGCAAAGCACTGCAGGCATGATGATGCATTATGCACTGCACAGACATGAAGGTAAGGAGGGGCATGAAACGCGCGCGCATGTGCTGAGATCTGTGCCTTGCCATGGCATACACGAAAACCGCGTCTGCAGACCAAGATCGGTGGTGGGCTAATGTCCTGATGCCACCTACCTGTTTTGGCGCCCTCGACTCATTGAAATCCCCCAGCCTACTAATTACTCGAAAAAGCTCGCCGGAAACTTGGAAAGCGGGCATACGCTAAACCCGAGCGCAAAGTAGTTTGCCGATGGAGGCAGCTCAAAAGCATAACCATGATGAAAGCAGCACGACTGTGCAGAAGCCACTTGAGGGGCAAATGCTTGGGGCTGCAATGTGTTGGGTGTAGGCTCTGTGGGAGGTCCCGGGCCCAAAGTCCCAAAGGTCTGCCCCTTGCGCCGGCATGCTCGAATTTCAAGTGCTCAGTTTTGTCCCGGCCCAGGCCCCAGGCCTCAGGCTGCAATGTCGCCGCTGCTTCTGCAGTGGA